TTCATACCTCGTACCATGCGAGAGACTGTTCCGGTCAATTAGGACTACTGTATTGCCTACTACTCGTCAGCGGCATCTATCCATTACCAAAACCTTAAAAAGCGCTCCATTGTCTGAATACGTTGGGCTGGATGAAGGTTGAGAAAATAGAAGCAATTGCTTACGAGGGTTTAAACCCTAAATGGAGTGCTGAACGATCACTCGTCAAAATGATTCATTAATTACTAGCTCTGATCTCGTTATCCTGTGCGAAATAAAGTAACATTCAGATAATACACTCGTCAGAGTCAGACGGCACGTGCCAACATGACAGGGTGAACTGTTTGGATAATTCTCCAATTGTTTTCGTTTATGCCTTGTGCTGACTGCCACATTGGATAGACGGCTAATAAATTGCAAAGAACATCGGGCAGCACGAGTTGTACCTCTTGTACGTTTTCGCATCACCGCATAAGAATATCAGCTGACGCCGTCTTGGTACCCTTTGCTCAGCTAATACACTGAAGCAACTTTTCTATGGAAGAGATTGAAGGTAGCTAATACTTCTGTTGGCTGGTGAGTTAGATTAACTTTTGTGGTGAGTAAGCTGGGTATGTTGAAGTGGCAGAGTACGACGTTTAGACGCAGCCTTCTTGGCTGAGCCGTTTGGAAACGAACCACTGGTCTGTGAGACTTGTTGTCAGCTCTCGGCCCTGTAGTCGCCGCCTTGAATCTGTATAACTGGACAATGGTCAGCTGTATTAACTACGTGATTAAACTAATCACTTTATATATCAACTTAGCTCTCTCTCTAAGTTAAGTACGATGCTGTTGTCAAACTAGCGATTTTCTTATTTATTACAATTCCACTGCGATGGCTATGCGATGTCAGTTCGTCGGCGTGCGGTCCTGCGGTCGCTAGATTGAATTCATATCATTGGCAGATGGTCATCTGCATTAATTTTTTGACCTCACTCATAATATTTCTCATCGCGTTCATGAGTACGATGCGATGGCGTTGTCAAACTATGAATATCGATTATTTTCATTTTATTTTATGATTCCATCCTAGTGACTATGCAGAGTCGCTAAGTCGCTGATGTCCTATCAGCGAAGCGTGGCGCTAACAAACAGAGATAGTAGCAGTCGCAAATTTTCCGGCATATCCGAATATAAAAAAAAGTTTCACCATCGACCAGATTAAGAAATTTAAGTTTCTTTCACTTTAAGGAATAAATTCATATTTTGGTCCATGCTATTGGCAGGTAGAATAGTCAAAAAGTAGAGCAATCGCAATCTCGTGTCCGTTCTGAACGGAAGGTGACTGCTCATGAGGTAGAAAGAAGCTATAGACAGCTATAGTAAAGAAAGGTCAGCAAGCGGCCCCAAATAAACAGCATTTTATTCCCATCCCTAAGTCTGCATGTATAGTCAAAATATCTGTTTGATACACATAAATAGGTACTCCAAGGGAGCGGTTACACAGCTAAAAGAAGTCGGCTCTGAACTTCGCGGATGCCGGATCAAAATCCCAGAAAAACTTTCTCTTGTGTTAGTTCCATGTGCATGGAATTCATTTCACTTTGCCTCAGTGCCAATCACGAAACGTGGGGACAACCTGGAATGTTCATAATGAGTTTAAGAACAAAACAGTTTACAGCAAAACCATTGCCCTGTTTATTTCTGAAAGCTCTCCTCCACCACTGAAGCTACCAAAACATCATTCATTCATTATTTACTGTACTCTCCCTCAGTATAGTCTCAGTACGTATATTGGATTCGAGGAATATGAAAAAATTTCATTATCACTCAGAAAAACGTCTATATTAATATGGCAAGTATTACTCATGCAAATACTATTCAAGATAGCAGTATTTTTCCAACTTCACTACGATGTTGAAATGACGCGAAATGTGGTTGTGAGCTATTGGAGCAACGGGTGACTGGTTCGTTTTGCACTTACAAATTTTCTACTTATGACTGCTACTTCCCTTGAGAAAAGCACTCATGCTACTGCACTTCGACGCAATCGTCCAAACAAGGGGTGGCAAGTTGTTGACTCGCGAATAACGCGGACAGCCAAAGCAGTGCGTCCGGAGTTGCAGCCTCTGCTTTCGTTCCTCAAAACTCCAGGTAAATTTGACGGATGGTGACCTACACGTATTCATTTATACTTTAGCTGTCATTGCCATGATAAAGAGGCAGAAGTGCGTATGAAGCCTTTCTATCTGCGTCATATTTTATCGATGTGTGCATTAGAGCTTTGAACGAAAACTCTTTTTCATCGGATAAGCTAGCCGTCAAGGCCTGATATCCGCAGTTTACGTAAGTTTGCAAAGGCTATATGGCCGTCACACTATGCCCGCTTTGCTTCGCCTGTCACGTTGACTTTTGAAGAATCATCTTACGCATATTACTGACTGTAAGCTGCGGATGTTCTTGGAAACTAGACTTAGCCGATCTTTTGAATCACGGGCTTGAGGTGCCTCAGAGGAACCAAGAGGCAAGAATCCAACAGGGTCCAGGATTTGATGCTGAAGCGTAACTGTTGAATGGGTGTGTTCCCTGTAACCGCCACCGAAACCTTGATTCATTATTTTGCACCGCGATGTCTACTAGAGATGGAAAATTCGCCTCCTTCACATAAAAATATATCATATTAATAGAGCAATTTAATTAGTAATTGTGAGAAAATAAGAGGGCATCACTACACTGTCATTCCGTGCAGCGAAGTAAAAAATGATTCGCGACTGCTTCAGATCAATCAGTTATCTTCTAAGTAGTTCTGGTGCCAGCTGTGCTTGTCTTCATTAGGTCCGTTAAGCCAATGCAACGCAAACCAAGCACTGCACATTTCACATCAAACTGTAGGGCAAGAAAACCAGCGATCACTTATAACCTTGAGCGTCTTTGCCAAACGGATAGTTTGTTTACGCAATAGTACTTAACTTCAATCAATCTTGTTGGACTTGAGAACGAACCTTGGAATTATCTCATTTCCTTTCGCAACTGCTTTTTGGACGATTTATTGACACAAATTATGAACTTCTACCAGTGTTTATATTGATTTAAGTGCACGACAGATCATAACTGGTGCATGGTTATGTTCAAAAGGGTACATAACTCCGCGGTAAAATAAAATAAAATGAATATTATAACTTGGCAGAGAAACTTTATTTACGTTATCCTAAACAATTTTATAAACATATACAGATGCCACGCTGTGGATGACCTGATGCTCATGTAACCTTCTGGTTCAATGGTTGACAGCACGATAGAGATAAGTTGTTACCTTCAAAATGAACTTCGCATAGGGCATATGATAATTAGCATGTAGAGCTCATATTTCCTTAAATGCTGATTTTGAATTTTTCTTGCCTCCAACATAGTTCATTATGAGAATAACGTGATAGTTAGACAATATAAAAACTTTGCTGCACAAAGAATAATGAAATTTAATGACGTCTTAGCAGGAAAAGAAACCTTTTACCACGTTATCCTACTAATGAAATTTGAAACTGTGATACCGGACATATTATAATCACCACATGCAATATTTCATGTAGAACATAGAGCATAAGCAAATATTGTATAACATTAACATCGAATAATGCATATGTAATTAGCATATTTTACCTGCTAACAACAGTGCGACCTTCATCTTGCAAGCAACTAGCTGTACAAGGAGAACTTCCTGCAGTCTGCTAAAGCAACAATGTCTGCAGCAATTAGTTATCTTATCAGACGGCAACTTTTTCGAGCGTATAGGCGTATGGGTTCCATCACGGTCAGATCATTGTAAACATGCTAGATATTACTATGCTGATCTACGACACATTGCAAAGCAACGCTAGAGATATTACAGCATAGACCATTAGGCATACGAATATATTTTCATGTTTATACGGCAGCACATGAAGGGTACCAATTCGTGGAATATCTTCCGTAATGAGTGCGAGGTAACTTCAACGAACAAAATGATCCAAGTTGCATCGGTTTCTGAAGCGTGCACAAACGCCATGAAGCCATGCTGCGTGACTGATTCTCCTGGGCAGCTGGCAGTAGGGGGACGATGGAATACGCCAGGAAATCTGGTATTGAATGAGTTATGCATTAAGTGTAAGGCAAACTACTAATCCTCTCACAGTAGCTCGAAAATTCCTTCAAGAGTTCGAAGATTGGAGATTCAAATGCCGAAGAAAACGCAGTCTTGATGACACAGCGTTTTTAGTGCAAGCTTAGTTATGGATTGCTTCAGTGATATCCCAAACAGATTAATGAGTTGGCATGCGAAAGATTCTCTGATATACGGCCTCCAGAGAACCGGTAACTTACTTTGCTGGATGTATCAATCCGAGGAGAGCCTTGAAACGAAGTGACTTCCGTGCTATGACGGCGGTTGAGTGGCACAGGTTATCAAATGACATGCAGCGATTTGAACATCACACCATTGAATTGACATCAAGGTGTTTGGATATTCTTTTCCTGTTCAGACTGCAATGACAAAACTGAGAATTCGACGCCATTACTAAACGGGTCGAAACCTAACAACAAACATGCATTGAATCGAGAAGCGGTCGGTAAAGACGACGGGGAAGCAGGGGCTGTTAGATATTCTCAGAACTTATAATTTATTTCTCTGTTAAGAAGCGTTCAAGTTATTCGGATCTTTAAACCGAAGGCTCATAGGCACCATGGAGAAAAATTTACACGATCCTATCTTCAAAGCGGATAAAAATATCTTTAAATAATCTTTGAATCTATGGGCCAACTTAAGAGACAAGTTTATCCAGTAAGTATGCAAGATTTGGCAATTCTCATGCCAGAAGCAAACTGTATAGATGAAAATACATAGCGGGGAGTCAACATTGTCCTTTGAGTCCTTTAAAACATTTTTACATCAATAGTTCGACACTGTATTGAAAGATATTATTATTAGACAGGAGCTGTGAGGCATTTTTTTGTGGTTGTGATTTAACGGAAAGTAGCATGATCAATATCGAAAACTTTACATCGAGCATAAGCATTGTCTGACGTCATCTTCATGATTGCTCTGTTATTTGCTCTAAATTGAGCAGTAAGGAAATTGCATGAATAATTATACTGGTGCTTTGCCTGATAAGAGCAACAGCAGCTTCATCCCGCGCACAACAGCATACGCCGGGGGTTCCAAATAGTGTGCTGAAGCAACATAGTTCGCAGTAATCACAATCAGCTATCTTATCATAGACAGCGTTTTGTAATGAGCTGCTGTTGCTATGAATATTTTCGAAGAAACTCAACTGTCCCCTGAAATTTGCCATTTAGTCACACAGCACGTTAGATCGCGAAAGCATTGTAATATCAATAACATTATGCAATATATATGCCATTCCCTGATTTACGTGATGCGTGCACATGGACTGTCAATAATGAATCATTGATGCCGTCATTCCGGAGAGCGAGAAAAGTTATTGAAGCAAGGGACCACATAGCAGAGCGAAGAAGGGTAACCATTAGTTTACCGTCCATACACTATTTACCAGGCTCAATCACTCGACTGCACAGTTGCTCGCCAAACCATTTGCTCGAGGTGCATTTACTCTGGGCTGCTTTTTTTGTTTCCTAAGCTGTATTGACTACCTTAGCAAAAATTTTTGGCTCATTTACAGAAAAATGCTGAAAAGCGAATAAATTCTCTAATAAATGGCATCGAAAGTACAGTCCCTTTGTCCTCTCTGCCTCGAGATGGATCATTTAATCAACCAATCATTTCAGGTGGTTGTGACAGCAATGGTACACTAATCGTCATAAATCCGGAGACATGACTCAAAAATTGTGATCCTGTGTGCAAGCCTGCTGAAATTGGCCTTCTTACACGAACAGCCGGACTAGGGCGTCTCGACAATGTACCAAGTTCAGAGATCTGAGAAAGTCTTGGCGTACAGATGATGCTTTTTCAGACTGAGAGATCACAGCTACGATGGTTTGGGCACATCATACGAATGCTTTACAAAAGGACAGCGAAACAAATACGAACTGTTTTATTGGCCGTCAGAGACCAGAGGAACTGCCAAGAACAGTATGAGGCAATAGTCTCAAAGGAAAATGAACCAGACTCGGGATACTTCATCCGAAGCTCAAGCGCTGCATTTGATAGCAACGTTGCAGGCATTGCCTTGTGCGTCTGCCTCCGCGACCCGAAAAGGATAAGAAATAGACAGATGCACAGAGGGACACAAAATGAACAGACAGACAGACAGACAGACGGACGGACGGACGGACAGACAGACAGACAGACAGGCAGACAGACAGACATGCAGAGAGACAGACAGACAGACAGATTGACAGACAGACACTAACTATCTAACTAACTATCTAACTAACTAACTAACTAACTAACTAACTAACTAATTAACTAACTAACTAACTAACTAACTAACTAACTAACTAACTAACTAACTAACTGACTAACTAACTAACTAACTAACCAACTAACTAACTAACTAACTAACTAAGTAACTGACTAACTGAATAACTGACTAACTGACTAACTAACAGACTAACTGACTAATTAACTAACTAACTAACTCACTGACTAACTAACTAACTAACTGACTAAATAGCTGAGTAATCAAGCAACTGACAAGTGAACAGTATTTATGACGTTTTCAGAAGAACGTATA